CAAATAAAAGATCGATTTATGAAAAATATCGCTCCGAAAAATCGAAGTTTCAATTTTTGTTTGAGACACCCGGTATACTTTTTTCGGTAGCGGAGTTTCGAACCAATGCAATTTTGCCGATAGTTCCGTATGTGAATAATAGATGGCGCCACTTTATAAAATAGTTGATGGTTCGAAACTCGGCTAATGAATAAAATATACCGGGTGGCCCAAATAAAAGTTCGATTTATGAAAAATATCGCTCCGAAAAATCGAAGTTTCCATTTTTGTTTGAGACACCCGGTATACTTTTTTCGGTAGCGGAGTTTCAAACCAATCAAATTTTACTAATACTTCGTTAACTAAATAATAGATGGCGCCACATTTGAAATAATTGATGGTTCGAAACTCGGCTAATGAAAAAATTATACCGGGTGATCCAAATAAAAAAGTCGTTTTTAAAAAACATCGTCCCGAAAAATCTTATTTTCATTTTTTGCATGGGCCACCCGGTATAGTTTTTTCGTTAGCGGAGTTTCCAACCAATCAAATTTCACTCGTAGTGCGATAACTAAATAATAGATGGCGCCTCATTAGTAATAATCGATGGTTCGAAACTCGGCTAAGGAAATAATTATACCGGGTGATCCAAATAAAGTCGCTTTCAAAAAATACCGTACTTTCAATTTTTGTCACTAGTTCAGCGTGATTTTTTTCCAATTTTTGTTTGTAATTTTTTATTAGTTAAGTTTCGAACCAACCCAATTTTCACAATAGTTCCGCTCGTGAAAGATAGATGGCGCTACTTGTCACATAAACGTTGGTTCGAAACTCCATAAATTCAAAAATTGTGATTTTAAACAAATAGGGAATTTAAAAAAAAAATAGAATGTTGTTAAAACAATTTTATTTATTCAATTCCTTGCGTTTTCACGATTTTCTTTATACCAATCAACGGTTTCTTTAACAGCTTTATCAAAAGGCGTGAACTCAAAATGGGGTAAATATCTTCTTAGCTTTAAATTACTGGCAGTCTTCTTAAATTGTCCATCTGACTTTGTTGTATCAAAGACAATGTTTCCTTTAAAATTGAAAGCTTTCACCAATTCCTCAGCAAGTTGTTTTATTGATACTTCAGAAGATTCATCAACTAAAGGTAATTAATAAATAAATTAAAAAATTTTACTAAAACTTTATATTATATACTCAACCTGACAAAATAATGGGTTCAATTTCCTCATAATTCCTCAAAACCCAAATAAATAATTTCGCTAAATCCAAGGAATAAATAAATTGTCTTAAAGGAGCTCCCGTTCCCATTACAACAAAATTATCTTCGTTTCTTTGAATGATATCGTATAATTTACGAATTAAACCAGGAATAACATGACTTGACTCCAAATTAAAATTATCAAATGGTCCAAAAACGTTACAAGGAATCACAGAAGTAAAAACGCAACCATATTGTTGGTTATAACCTCGATTTGCAACATCAATCATCCTTTTGGCATAACTATATCCAAAATTTGAAGAGTGAGGTGGTCCATTATGAACCATTGTTTCATTTATTGGATAAGAAGTTTTATCAGGAAAAATACAAGTTGATAAACAAGAAACAACCTTTTTCACTTTAAATTCATAACTAATTTGGAGAATGTTATCATTCATATGGAGATTATTTCGCTACAAATCAAAAAAATGAATTAAATTTTGGATTAATTAATTAATTTTGTACTTACAAAGAAATCTAAGTTATGAGACATGTTGTGGAATAATCCTCCGACCATCGCAGCTAAATGAACGACGTGGGTTGGGTTGTATTTCTCGAAGATTTTCTTCGTCGACTCATAATTGCTTTAATTAATTAAAATTAATTAAGAATAATAGTCTTTAAGTGAAGAAAAATTAATAAATTTACCATAAATCTCCATCTTTACTACTTAAAAACACCCATTTCTCATCGATTGGATTCTCTTTCTCGATGATTTGTTTAATAGCACTCCCTACTAACCCACTTCCGCCGGTAACAAGCACGATTTTCTCCATGTCGCAAAGAAAAACCTACAAACGAGTATCTTTTTAAAAGTGACGAAAGAAAACACGCAATCTGACATTTTTGACACATTTGACGTATTCGGTGTCGGTAAAGTAGAAAACTATTTCATTTATTATTTATTTTAATTATTTTTATTGTTATTAA